GAGTATTTACCACTAAAACTGTAATGTTTTAAGGGGATTCAAAGGACAAATGATATTTTAGCCTAGAAGAATGATAAAGGTATAATATGCAGACAACTATACATGTATTAGTTAATGTCCCTTTAGTGTCTTTTGCCTCTCTATTAATGAAGATCAAAATGCAACTAACAAGTCTATTAATTGGTTACTTTAGAAATAGTCTTTTCAACATTTTTTACCTTTAAAATTACTTTGTAGAAGATCCCCTTAGTTTCTGTATGACAAAATGAAACAAAACAGTTGTGGATGTACATTAGTACAGTGCTGTTGTCTTCTGGTGTTTTATTATTTGTTATCAATAGACCACTTTCAAGTTATGTCCTTCACCAGAAAAGTTCATCAATTATGCACGCCTTTATGAAGTCATTTACCAGAAAGAGGGATTGCCTGTATCCCTTCACTATCAAAGTTCATCAAGTGTCTTCTTAATCTTCATTATGCAGGATACTGTGGGTTCATTTATTTTCATGGGTACCAATTTCGTGGATTGAGGAAAACTTGCATTTTCATGGATATTTGATTTCGTGGTTTTGCCAAAGTCTGCATACATTCTTATAGAAAATTTGTTATTCATTGTACATTGGAATTCCTGGTTCCCGGGTAACCATGAAATCCATGAAAATTGGTATCCAACGAATAATGATTAATCCACAGTAAACTAGAAATAAAGTTTGTTCCGTAGGTACTTAATCACAATTCCCTAATGACAGTAGTGCTGATTATCAATTATAAGAATTTAATTTGCCGAATAATTCATGCAATATAGCATCATATTTTTTCAAATGGTCGCTCAACATGGAAGGAAGTGATGATGCCCCTAAACGCTTGAATTATGTTCACTAAAACTTTAGTTTTTGACAGAAATGCAACGACTCGAAAGTGATCTATTGTCTCCTCACAACCACACTCCCTTAATCAATCCAATCCACCCACTCCCTTTGCAAACAAAAATTGACCATCTTAACCAAATATTAATGCAGGCTGGATGGTTTTTGTTCTGCAGTGATATGAAATTTATTACTGGCAATAGCAAGTGTTGCTCAAGCTTGAAACATATCAGTAAACATAAGGAAACTGTTTGGTAAGAAATAAAAAGGTCCCTTGATTTAGTCCAATGGCAATTGAAACATCACTTGACAAACTTTTGCATTTGCATTCATGATGGAATAGATTTCATCACACTTATAAAAACAAATGACAACATAATTTTCAGTCTATTTGTAAAGAAAAAAGAATAAAGACTATAAGACAGTATGACAGATTATTTTGCCTATTTTTGCAGATGAACCCGAATCTAAAATTTTTTTTGCTTTTTATCAGCCCGCCTATAAAAGCTTGTATAAAATTTCGATTTTGAGTGTTTTCCAGTTCAGTCCTACATCTATCCCCAAGAATTCCCATCAAAATGACGTTGGATACCTCTTTTAAAATATCTGAACTTGTTACCTGCACCTCTAAGGAAAACACAATTTTTCAAATTAAACTAATTTGTTAGTTGATAAATACCACATGTTTTGTTTCACTGATTCACAGGTGGTAATTATTGCATGAATGAATTAATATATAATACCCAGCATCAATCCAAACTTTACAAAAGTTAGTATATACATATTTCATTTTATGTGTAATATGATGTGAATATATGCATGTAAGAAGATTCAACGATACAATTGCTGTTTTAAGTGGCTACACATCAGAAAGCAGGTGCAGATCCAGCCTTTTTTAAAAGGGGGGGTTCCAACACATGCAAGTCATATAAAAAGGGGGATGGGTTCCAACCATATGTCTCCATACAAAAGCATTAGTTGTCAACAAAAAGGGGGGTTCCAACCCCAGAACACCTCCTGGATCCACGGCTGGAAACTGTTGCTGCATTATAGTAAATATATCAAACAGAATAGTTAAACTGGAAAAAACCTATTAATAATATGTTCTTATAAGTTTTAGAATAGTTTATTTAAAAAATTGATTATATCTAGATATGAAATGCATGTAAAAGTAATATGTAAAATTGAAGTTCCTTTCCAATTTCCTTCATTCTTTTAAATATAATTTGTAATAGTAATCTATGTAAATTGTCCCATCATCCCATGTAGATGCTTTTCTGTCCTTAAGTGGCTATCAGAAAAACCTATAACATCAAAACCTCTACAAAGTTTAAACGTTCAGTTTTTATACGACCGCAAAAAATTTTGCGGTCGTATATTGGTATCACGTCATCGTCGTCGTCAGCGTTGTCCAAAGACAGTTGGTTTCCGGACAATAACTTTAGTATGATTAAATAGAAATCTATGAAATTTAATCACAAGGTTTATAACCACAAAAGGAAGGTTGGGATTGATTTTGGGGGTAATGGTTCTAACAATTTAGGAACTAGGTGCCAAAAAGGGGCCCAAATAAGCATTTTTCTAGTTTCCAGACAATAACTTGTGGAACGGTGTATGGATTTCTCTGAAATTATACCACAAGTTTCCATACCACAAAGGGATGGTTAGGATTTGCTTTGGGGGGTTATGGCTCAAACTGTTTAGGAATTAGGGGCAAAAAAGAGGGAAAAACAAGGGTTTCATGGTTAATGGACAATTACTGAAGACAATTTAAAAGCAGTGTAAGGGAGGTAATCCAAACACAACGTTTTGATTACCACCCTTACACTGCTTTTAAATTATGTATAAAGAAATGTTGTATTGTCTTGAGATGATTAGCTGTCAATTTATTTTTGGAAGTTACTATTAAGGAATATTAATTTTAGCCATGATTATGTATGTCATTTTTTATTTTAAGACTTTTATGATGTATTTAAATGGGTAATTATGGTTGCAAACTCCATTGGAAATTTGGATTGAGATAATGACCATATCTCGAGGGAAAGAATTTTTTTGGGGGAAAAAGGGGGGGGGGGGGTTAAAAAAAAATTGGTGGTGGGGGGGGGGGGGGGTAAAAAGAAATTGTGGGGGGTCAATTTTTTCTCATTTCAGATTTCAGAAATTAAAAAGAAAAATTCTTCAAATATTTTTTTTTTTTCCAAAAAAAAAGTTGGGGGGGGGGGGAGAGAGTCAATACGCAACAGCATAGTGTATTGCACAAAAGCAAAAAATTAATATAAATTCAAATCATATAACCAATTCTAAGTTCTTTGGTTCTTTGACTACAGTTATTCTGTGTCAGAAACCTATTATGTGTCAAATATTTAATTACAATCCAAATTCAGACCTGTATCAAACGCGAATATTGTGTCCATTTTTGCCCCAACTGTTCAGGGTTGGACCTCTGCGGTCGTATCCAGCTGCGCTCAGCGAATTTATTTGTTTTAACGTAATATTGTCTGTCACTTAATCAACATGTCATGACAGATTTATGGCTTTACTTGCCATTTCATAACTGAGAAAAGATATGAATTTTCACTCTCAATAGCTTTACTTGCCATTTCATAACTGAGAAAAGATATGAATTTTCACTCTCAATAGCTTTAGATGTATGACTAAGTTTGTCATTTCAGAGTTTTGGGACTTGTTAACCTCATAATTCTTATTTTGGAGTTAGGGGACTTAACTGTCTGATCTGAGACAATTTCCGCATGTCTGACACTGTTGTTTGGATTGGAGAAAATTTAAAGCAATTTTATTTACAGCACAGGATATCCGCTTAACTTGCAATTTTTTTCTGGAGGGCTATTTTATTGACTTCAGGTTTAATCCCTTCTACAATTTTTTATAATTGCAACAAATTCAATGGGCATATTACGGATGTATCTTGGGACACCTGAGTCCTGACACAGCTGTTTATTTAATTTTTATATTCTGAATGATTTCCTTTCTCTTTTGAGTACAAAACAAGCAGGCCTTGTCAGGTATTTTTTAGATTCAATTGTTTATGAAAACAAATGTTATATTTTTATTACAGATTTCCAACATTAATTTATATTTACTTACATTTTCAGTCAAATGAAAAGATAATTCCAAGGAAAAAAACAAACTATTTGAATGACTTGAAAAAATGTTTATATCATTTTTATATCACACTTAATTATTTGCATTGTATTCATTGATCTATTTCCAACAAGGCCAATATAAAACATGCATTTTGCTAAAACTTTTTGTCATATCTGATGACGTCACTAATGATCAAATTATCTATACCAATAAATTTTGTGTACACTAACTTCTGCTTTACTATAAATAGATGCATATTTGTGCGTCATCAGGTTGGTTAACGCAAATAAAATCTGTTTTAAAAAAAATGAAAAGGTATAATTAGGTATGTTAACAAATTAACAACGTTTTAAATTACAAAAAAATGTCATGTATTATTTTAGATAATATTTTTCTTTTTCTTATCAAGTCAAATGCATATTTTTAATGTAAAAAAAATGAGAAAAAGATGACAACTGCCTGTGAAAATTTTGAGAAAAACCTTCTACAAGTTGGTTAAGACAAGAATTTAAATCACCCCTTGATGCAAATGTAATGTTCTGGTTTGGTTAATGCAAGCTTAATAGTAACATTATGGATTGTACCAAATGATAACAGTCAAGGTAACACAGGAAAGAAATTTTATAGAAAAAAAAATTGAAAGTTGTAAATAATCTATAAACAGGATTATTCAAATCCCTACCTAATAAATTAAGTAGCATCATTGTTTTGGTAAATTATTGATGCGTACATGTACATAAATATATTGCTAGGAATTTTGTGTTCAATTCAAATTCAGTTTAATAGCTAGAAATTTGAATTTTGTGGAAGATATGTGTATGTATACCAAAGATGTGTCTATTTTAAGGATTTTGTTTTATAGAATATTTCATCAATATCCAGGTTGTTGAAATTAGCTTATTTTTGAAACAGCATTTTCAGATTTTGGAAAATATTCACAATTGTACAGGTCAGGTTGTTGAATTATTAGCTCACCTGGCCCGAAGGGCCAAGTGAGCTTTTCTCATCACTTGGCGTCAGTCGTCCGTCGTCCGGCGTCGTCCGTCGTCGTCCGGCGTCGTCCGTCGTCGTCCGTCGTCGGCGTTAACTTTTTACATTTTGAACTTCTTCTAGAGAACCACTGAATGGAATGAAACCAAACATGGCATGAATGTTCCTTATGAGGTGCTGACCAAGTGTTGTTACTTTGTAGCCGATCCATCATCCAAGATGGCCGCCAGCGGGGGACTTAGTTTAACATAGGACCCTATGGGAAATGCATACAAATGACTTCTTTTAGAGAACCACTGAATGGAATGAAACCAAACATGGCATGAATGTTCCTTATGAGGTGCTGACCAAGTGTTGTTACTTTGTAGCCGATCCATCATCCAAGATGGCCGCCAGCGTGGGACTTAGTTTAACATAGGACCCTATGGGAAATGCATACAAATGACTTCTTTTAGAGAACCACTGAATGGAATAAAACCAAACATGGCATGAATGTTCCTTATGAGGTGCTGACCAAGTGTTGCTACTTTGTAGCCGATCCATCATCCAAGATGGCCGCCAGCGGGGGACTTAGTTTAACATAGGACCCTATGGGAAATGCATACAAATGACTTCTTTTAGAGAACCACTGAATGGAATGAAACCAAACATGGCATGAATGTTCCTTATGAGGTGCTGACCAAGTGTTGTTACTTTGTAGCCGATCCATCATCCAAGATGGCCGCCAGCGGGGGACTTAGTTTAACATAGGACCCTATGGGAAATGCATACAAATGACTTCTTTTAGAGAACCACTGAATGGAATGAAACCAAACATGGCATGAATGTTCCTTATGAGGTGCTGACCAAGTGTTGTTACTTTGTAGCCGATCCATCATCCAAGATGGCCGCCAGCGGGGGACTTAGTTTAACATAGGACCCTATGGGAAATGCATACAAATGACTTCTTTTAGAGAACCACTGAATGGAATAAAACCAAACATGGCATAAATGTTCCTTATGAGGTGCTGACCATGTGTTGTTACTTTGTAGCCTATCCATCATCCAAGATGGCCACCATCGGGGAACTTAGTTTAACATAGGACCCTATGGGAAATACATACAAATGTCTTCTTTTAGAGAACCACTGAATGGAATGAAACCAAACATGGCATGAATGTTCCTTATGAGGTGCTGACCAAGTGTTGTTACTTTGTAGCCGATCCATCATCCAAGATGGCCGCCAGCGGGGGACTTAGTTTAACATAGGACCCTATGGGAAATACATAAAAATGTCTTCTTTTAGAGAACCACTGAATGGAATGGAACCAAACATAGCATGAATGTTCCTTATGAGATGCTGACCAAGTGTTGTTACTTTGCAGTCAGTCCATCATCCAAAATGGCCGCCAGCAGGGGACTTAGTTTAACATAGGACCCTATGGGAAATACATACAAATGTCTTCTTTTAGAGAACCACTGAATGGAATGAAACCAAACATGGCATGAATGTCCCTTATGAGGTTCTGACCAAGTGTTGTTACTTTGTAGCCGATCCATCATCCAAGATGGCCGACAGCAGGGGACTTAGTTTAACATAGGACCCTATGGGAAATACATACAAATGTCTTCTTTTAGAGAACCACTGAATGGAATGAAACCAAACATGGCATGAATGTTCCTTATGAGGTGCTGACCAAGTGTTGTTACTTTGCAGTCGGTCCATCATCCAAGATGGCCGACAGCAGGGGACTTAGTTTAACAAAGGACCTATGGGAAATACATACAAATGTCTTCTTTTAGCGAACCACTGAATGGAATGAAACCAAACATGGCATGAATGTTCCTTATGAGGTGCTGACCAAGTGTTGTTACTTTGTAGCCGATCCATCATCCAAGATGGCCGCCAGCGTGGGACTTAGTTTAACATAGGACCCTATGGGAAATGCATACAAATGACTTCTTTTAGAGAACCACTGAATGGAATGAAACCAAACATGGCATGAATGTTCCTTATGAGGTGCTGACCAAGTGTTGCTACTTTGTAGCCGATCCATCATCCAAGATGGCCGCCAGCGGGGGACTTAGTTTAACATAGGACCCTATGGGAAATGCATACAAATGACTTCTTTTAGAGAACCACTGAATGGAATGAAACCAAACATGGCATGAATGTTCCTTATGAGGTGCTGACCAAGTGTTGTTACTTTGTAGCCGATCCATCATCCAAGATGGCCGCCAGCGGGGGACTTAGTTTAACATAGGACCCTATGGGAAATGCATACAAATGACTTCTTTTAGAGAACCACTGAATGGAATGAAACCAAACATGGCATGAATGTTCCTTATGAGGTGCTGACCAAGTGTTGTTACTTTGTAGCCGATCCATCATCCAAGATGGCCGCCAGCAGGGGACTTAGTTTAACATAGGACCCTATGGGAAATGCATACAAATGACTTCTTTTAGAGAACCACTGAATGGAATAAAACCAAACATGGCATAAATGTTCCTTATGAGGTGCTGACCATGTGTTGTTACTTTGTAGCCTATCCATCATCCAAGATGGCCACCATCGGGGAACTTAGTTTAACATAGGACCCTATGGGAAATACATACAAATGTCATCTTTTAGAGAACCACTGAATGGAATGAAACCAAACATGGCATGAATGTTCCTTATGAGTTGCTGACCAAGTGTTGTTACTTTGTAGCCGATCCATCATCCAAGATGGCCGCCAGCGGGGGACTTAGTTTAACATAGGACCCTATGGGAAATACATAAAAATGTCTTCTTTTAGAGAACCACTGAATGGAATGGAACCAAACATAGCATGAATGTTCCTTATGAGATGCTGACCAAGTGTTGTTACTTTGCAGTCAGTCCATCATCCAAAATGGCCGCCAGCAGGGGACTTAGTTTAACATAGGACCCTATGGGAAATACATACAAATGTCTTCTTTTAGAGAACCACTGAATGGAATGAAACCAAACATGGCATGAATGTCCCTTATGAGGTTCTGACCAAGTGTTGTTACTTTGTAGTCGATCCATCATCCAAGATGGCCGACAGCAGGGGACTTAGTTTAACATAGGACCCTATGGGAAATACATACAAATGTCTTCTTTTAGAGAACCACTGAATGGAATGAAACCAAACATGGCATGAATGTTCCTTATGAGGTGCTGACCAAGTGTTGTTACTTTGCAGTCGGTCCATCATCCAAGATGGCCGACAGCAGGGGACTTAGTTTAACAAAGGACCTATGGGAAATACATACAAATGTCTTCTTTTAGGGAACCACTGAATGGAATGAAACCAAACATGGCATGAATGTTCCTTATGAGGTGCTGACCAAGTGTTGTTACTTTGTAGCCGATCCATCATCCAAGATGGCCGCCAGCGTGGGACTTAGTTTAACATAGGACCCTATGGGAAATGCATACAAATGACTTCTTTTAGAGAACCACTGAATGGAATGAAACCAAACATGGCATGAATGTTCCTTATGAGGTGCTGACCAAGTGTTGCTACTTTGTAGCCGATCCATCATCCAAGATGGCCGCCAGCGGGGGACTTAGTTTAACATAGGACCCTATGGGAAATGCATACAAATGACTTCTTTTAGAGAACCACTGAATGGAATGAAACCAAACATGGCATGAATGTTCCTTATGAGGTGCTGACCAAGTGTTGTTACTTTGTAGCCGATCCATCATCCAAGATGGCCGCCAGCGGGGGACTTAGTTTAACATAGGACCCTATGGGAAATGCATACAAATGACTTCTTTTAGAGAACCACTGAATGGAATGAAACCAAACATGGCATGAATGTTCCTTATGAGGTGCTGACCAAGTGTTGTTACTTTGTAGCCGATCCATCATCCAAGATGGCCGCCAGCGGGGGACTTAGTTTAACATAGGACCCTATGGGAAATGCATACAAATGACTTCTTTTAGAGAACCACTGAATGGAATAAAACCAAACATGGCATAAATGTTCCTTATGAGGTGCTGACCATGTGTTGTTACTTTGTAGCCGATCCATCATCCAAGATGGCCACCATCGGGGAACTTAGTTTAACATAGGACCCTATGGGAAATACATACAAATGTCTTCTTTTAGAGAACCACTGAATGGAATGAAACCAAACATGGCATGAATGTTCCTTATGAGGTGCTGACCAAGTGTTGTTACTTTGTAGCCGATCCATCATCCAAGATGGCCGCCAGCGGGGGACTTAGTTTAACATAGGACCCTATGGGAAATACATAAAAATGTCTTCTTTTAGAGAACCACTGAATGGAATAGAACCAAACATGGCATGAATGTTCCTTATGAGATGCTGACCAAGTGTTGTTACTTTGCAGTCAGTCCATCATCCAAAATGGCCGCCAGCAGGGGACTTAGTTTAACATAGGACCCTATGGGAAATACATACAAATGTCTTCTTTTAGAGAACCACTGAATGGAATGAAACCAAACATGGCATGAATGTCCCTTATGAGGTTCTGACCAAGTGTTGTTACTTTGTAGCCGATCCATCATCCAAGATGGCCGACAGCAGGGGACTTAGTTTAACATAGGACCCTATGGGAAATACATACAAATGTCTTCTTTTAGAGAACCACTGAATGGAATGAAACCAAACATGGCATGAATGTTCCTTATGAGGTGCTGACCAAGTGTTGTTACTTTGCAGTCGGTCCATCATCCAAGATGGCCGACAGCAGGGGACTTAGTTTAACAAAGGACCTATGGGAAATACATACAAATGTCTTCTTTTAGCGAACCACTGAATGGAATGAAACCAAACATGGCATGAATGTTCCTTATGAGGTACTGACCAAGTGTTGTTACTTTGCAGTCGGTCCATCATCCAAGATGGCCGACAGCAGGGGACTTAGTTTAACAAAGGACCTATGGGAAATACATACAAATGTCATCTTTTAGAGAACCACTGAATGGAATGAAACCAAAAATGGCATGAATCTTCCTTATGAGATGCTGACCAAGTGTTGTTACTTTGTAGCCGATCCATCATTCAAGATGGCCGACAGCGGGGGACTTAGTTTAACATAGGACCCTACGGGAAATACATACAATTGTCTTCTTTTAGAGAACCACTGAATGGAATTGAACCAAACATGGCATGAATGTTCCTGATGAGTTGCTGACCAAGTGTTGTTACTTTGCAGTTGATCCATCATCCAAGATGGCCGCTAGGGGGGTGTGGGGGGGCTTAGTTTAACAGGACCCTATGGGAAAATCATACAAATGTCTTCTTTTAGAGTACCACTGAATGGAATGAAACCAAACATGGCATGAATGTTCCTTATGAAGTGCTGACCAAGTGTTGCTACTTTGTTGCCGATTTACTGTTCAAGATGGCCACCAGGATATTTTATTAAATAACGGGACCAATATTAATCAAAATTTGGCCTCAATCATTATTTGGGTATCTGTTATGATTTTTATCTATCTTTACATGATTTCTAAAACCAAAGTAGAGTCAGGTGAGCGACACAGGCTCTTGAGAGCCTCTAGTTTTTCTATTTTTTTCTTATTTTGGAGGGGGCGGGGGGTTGAGGTAGGAGGGAATTTTGTATAAATGACACATATAGTGGATCTGTCCTACTCTGCCTGCAGTTTTAAGCTATAACTGTTAACTATATCATTCACTTGACATCAGTAATCCTCAACTTTTTCACATTTTTACTTTTTTTTTAACACTACTTTGCTGATTGTAAAGAAATTTTGTAGATAAGATGTATGAAAGGAAGCTTACAAATAATTAAGAAGAAATTCGTTCATAAGATGCTTTTTGCTCATTTTAGCATTGGTAGGCATTTTATTTATTGATATCTTCATACCTAGTGGTCGGTCTAGTACAAAGCAGGGTTAATACTCATATTACATTAACATGTTCTCGTCCTGAATATGCAAATCAATCTGCCGCTGGACATTAAGCAGCCATCCTTGATGATGATCATCATCATACCTAGTGTTATCCTTCCCATGTTAAAGTGAACATAGAGCATGGTGTGATGAAATAATTTCAATTTCAATAGGAAAATTCAGAACTTTTGAACTTCAAAGATGACCTATACCACATGTTAGAAAGGCACCCATTTTGATTTGATGAAGCACTAACGAAATCAAGACAACCAACTGTTTCACAATAGTAAAAAGAAATGAAACTAGAAAACTTAGAATAATTTGAATTAATTTTCTAGCGAGCAACACTAACAATAATGTCAATCTTGATCTTCAATGTTACTCAAAATATAATTGATGTTGAAATTTTAAAGAGTAGTTTAAAGGAGTCACAGAAACCTGCAGGTTTGGTATTCTTGGTATTAAACTTATTCCTGCAGGTTTGGTATTCTTGGTGATGAACTTATTATATATTTTTTTTCTCAAACTGCCTGGGCCAATATCAGTCAAGATTTTAATGGAAGGAATTCTATGGACCATTTTGTTGGCAGAAGTGGATTTTGTTAAATAATCTAGAGTTCTCTAAATATACTACCAAAATTTACCCAAAGGAACTTACTTTAAATAAATCTAACATAATAAACAGCAGTACTTGTCCTTTTCTAGATTTAGACATTTCAGTTTCTAAAGGGAAACTCCTATTAAAATTTTCGATTTTTCACTCCCTATTGTTAATTTTCCTTTTTTAGACGGCGATGTTCCTTTGGCTCCATCATACGGTGTTTATATATCCCAACTCGTTTGTAATGCCCGTGTGTGTAGTGATGTCATAGATTTTAACAAATGTAATCAATGCATCACTGGTAAATTATTAAGTCAGGGATTTCGGTACCATAAATTACTTAAAACTTTTACTAAATTCTTTCATAGATACAAAGATTTGATTAGTAAATTTGGCTGTACCCGTAAAAAACTTATTAAAAACGGTATTTCACATCCTAAATTTTACGGTAATATTGTACTAAAAGCACGGAAATCACTATGTGATCCGTGTAAACTCATTGAACCTTTAAACAAACTTATTAGTAAAGGTTATCTTATTAATGTTGTAATAAGATCTTTGAATATTGTTTACATTGGCACAAATATCAATTTTGTCATCAACAAATTAAAACATAACTAAATTTGTATTCTTTTCGAATGGTTTTTACGGGACTTATTATGGTATACCGTTGTCCGTCTGTCTGTCTGTCTGTCCGTCTGTCCGTCTGTCTGTCCGTCATCAACATGTCGGACATTAACTCAAAAACGCTTTAACCAATTTGAATAAAACTTTGGTGAATTGTTTATATCTATTGACGTGAGCTCCCTTTCGTTTTTTATAAATTTTAGATTTTACTTTTCCGAGTTATAGGGTTTTATTCATTAAAAAAAGTGGGATTTTCCAGTTTTCGGACAATAACTCAAGAATGCTTTCACCAACTTGCAAGAAATTGTGGTGAATTGTTTATATCTATTGACATGAGCTACCTTTCGATTTTTATATATTTTAGATTTTACGTTTCTGAGTTACAGGGTTTTATTCATAAAAAAAGGGGGATTTTCCAGTTTTCAGACACAAAATCAAAAATGCTTTCAGCAGTTCTTATGAAACTTTGATGAATTGTTTATATCTATTGATGTAAGCTCCGTTTAGAATTTTATAAATTTAACATTTTACATTTCTGGTTATGGGGTTTTATTCATTAAAAAAAGGGGGATTTTCCAGTTTTTCAGACAATAACTCAAAAATGCTATCAGCAATTCTCATGAAACTTTGGTGAATTGTTTATATCTATTGATGTAAGCTCCCATTAGAATTTTATAACTTTTACATTTTACATTTCTGAGTTATGGGGTTTTATTCATTAAAAAAAAGGGGATTTTCCAGTTTTCGGACAATAACTCAAAAATGCTGTCAGCAATTCTCATGAAACTTTGGTGAATTGTTTATATCTATTGATGTAAGCTCCCTTTACACTTTTATAAATTTCTAATATGACATTGAGAATTAATTGAACTTAAATTGTTTATAGTCTGACAACAGATTTACTAAGTATCGCGCAACATCACAGTGTATTGCACAACAGCAAGAAATCTGTAATGGAATATGAATTCAATTCATATTACCAATTTCAAGTTCTTTGATAACATTTATTCAGAAACCTATAATATGTCAAATATTTAATACAATCCAAATTCAGACCTGTATCAAGCTTGAATATTGTGTCCATTTTTGCCCCAACTGTTCAGGGTTGGACCTCTGCGGGCGTATCCAGCTGCGCTCAGCGAAGCAGTTTATTTGGGATGTATGAATACACATCCACTTTAATTTTCTATATAGAGATTGCTTTATCTATATATAGCATTATACATATTTATTATAAGGTTAATCCAAACTATCCTACTGCCTGTCAATACTTTTATTTAGTCATTGCACAAGTCATGTCTTCTTTGACTGTCCATGGCGTTAAAACACTTTTTATGCCCCCGAATATCAGAATGGGTGCCAAATCCATCATCTAAATACGTAAGAATTTGTTTACCCTCACCTCTTCATTTTTTAATTAGTGGCCTGGTAACTTTAGTAAATATATAACAGGCAGAACTTAATTCAAAAGGGAGAACGAGAAATTTAAAAGTGGAGGGGGCATTAAGTTTTACCCTTGTCCGTCTGTACGTCTGTCCGTCCGTATGTCCTAAAGTTGGTTTCCGTTCTCTAACTTTAGTTTGCCTCAATTAAATGTTATGAAACTTATACACAATGCTTATCACCACTAAATACAGATCAAGTTTGAATTTTGGTGGCGTCACTTTTACCGTTCTGGAGTAATGCTCCTTTACAAATGGAAAAATTGCTAAATTTTTGTTTCCATTCTCTACCTTAAGTTTGCCTCAACCAAATGTTATGAAACTTATACACAATGCTTATTACTACAATATACAGATCATGTTTGAATTTTGGTGCCGTCACTTTTACTGTTCTAGAGTTATGCCATTTACAAATGGAAAAATTGTTAAATTTAAAAAAAAAAAATTCTAAATATCATGTCATTTTTAAAATTGGAGTTATCTTCTTTTGTCCATGATTATAGTTGAATCAACTACAATCAATGCTTTATACAATGCAATTTTTAATTTTGCCTTCCACTGATAAAACACAGATCAAGTTGAATTTGGGTAGTGTCACTTTAACCATTATTGAGTTATGCCCATTTATAAATCGAAAGATTGCAAAATTTTTAGTTTTCATTCTGTAACTTAAGTTTGCCCCAACCAAACATTATGAAATATATACACAATATTCATTACCTCAAAACTAAGATAATGTACAATTTTTTTGTTTCCGTTCTCTAACTTTAGTTTGCCTCAACCAAATGTTAGGAAACTTAAACACAATGCTTATTACTACATAATACAGATTAAGTACGAAATTTGGTGGCGTCACTTTTACCATTCTTGAGTTATGTCTCTTTATAAACATAAAAATTGCTGAATTTTTCGTTTCCGTTCTCTAACTTTAGTTTGTCTCAACCAAATGTTATAAAACTTATACACAACCGTTCTAGAGTTATGCGTGTTTACAAATAGAAAAATTGCTGAATTTTTAGTTTCTGTTCTCTACTTAAGTTAGCCTCAACCAAATGTTATGAGACTTATACACAATGCTTATTACCACAAAACTCAGATCATGTTCAAATTTGGGTAGCGTCACTTTTACGGTTCTTCAGTTATGTCCCTTTATAACATTATGATATGCAAGCCGGAGCATCATCTGTGTCCACATGTGGACACAATCCACATTTTTTTATTTAATATTGTATTTATATTGTGTCATAGATCAAATTTATTCGTTCAGTGTATGTTTACTTGTTTTTGTTAATATGTCTTTTTGATTGAGTTAAGCCATTTCAATTGATATTTTATAGTGTGTCTTTCTATGTTG